TTACCAAGAGTGTGGGTTAGTACATTTCTACTGAAACAATATTCTGAGAGATTTATTCTAGTGAAAATTTGAAATATAGGTTTTGATTTAAAATAAAATACTTCCTTAACAAGCCAAAAATTATTCCCCAGCTTTTCAAAGAACTATTTAGATACCTAAAATAGGGATGTCAATGTGTAGACAACTACACGATTAACCGATAAGCCTGGGCTTATCAATTAATCCTGTTGACTAAACGCATTTCCCCCTTGCTGCCTCTGTATCAGCGGCAGCAAGGGCGGGGGAGGCAGGAGCCGGTGCTCCCCTCCAACCCCAGCGCTGCTGCCTCTGATAGAGAGGCAGCAGCACGGAGGGTAAGGGGGTCAGGCAGGAGTCGATAGGTGCAAGGAGCCAGCAAAGCCAGCTCTCAGTGCATGCCAGTTCCATGGACCCACCTGCCCTCCCTTGCTGCCTACTAAAGAGGCAGTGGGGGATGGGAAACAGGCAGGAACCAGTGCTGGGGGGAGCTGACTTAAAAACACCAGCCCCACAGAGTCGTTTGCCGCCTCCTGCACTGCTGCCTCTTTCAGGGTGCAGGGGAGGTAGCTGCAAAGCAGCCTCTGTCCACAGCAGGCCTGGGTTCACCATGGACAGAGGCTGCTCCACGTCAGCAGTACCTGTCTGGGGGTGAGGTTCCTGTTCCCCGTAGACAGAGGCTGCTCTGGAGCTTGGATCCCCCCAGAAAGGGGCTGCTGCCACCCTGCGCTGCTGCCCCTGATAGAGAGACAGCAGCTGTGTGTGATAAGGGGCTACCCGGGGACTATCGAATAGTCATGTAACCACTAAAATTTGATGTAGTCACAGGACTATTCAACTAGGGTATGTCTACACTTGCACCCTAGTTCGAACTAGGGATGCAAATGCAGGCACTCGAAATAGTCAATGAAACGGGATTTAAATATTCATTAGCATGATCCGCCTGTGTGCTAGTTCAAATCACAGCTGATTCGAACCAGGAAGTGCGCACCAGGACGCGTTAGTTCGAACCAAATCCCTTGGTTCGAACTAACGTTACTTCTCAAAATGAGGGGTTTGGTTCGAACTAACGCGTCCCGGTGCGCACTTCCTGGTTCAAATGCTAATGAAGTGCGGGATATTGAAATTCCGCTTTACTGACTATTTCGAATGCCTGCATTTGCATCCCTTTTCTACATTTGTGGATCTTCTCATTTGTCAGAAGAGGCTTTTCCGAAGTTTGGCCTTCATCCAAAAGCCCCCTTCTTCCTCGTGGAACAAGGAATACAGGGGCTTCCAAACGAGTGCGTTTCCTCTTCCGCAAAAAAAAGCGGAAGAGCAAATGTGTTCCCTGGACACGATGGAGTTTTTTCAGGATACCACCTGTATCACCACCCCCTCCACCCCGGTCTATCCATACCCCGGGAGTGAGGAGTGAGCCAAGGGCAAGCCTTTGAGGGGGAAAAGTCCAGGCAGGAGGTACGCCTCTGAGGGAAGTGCAGGAGGCAAGGGGCATGGACTCATGGAAGAGGTGGGGAAGTGATGTTGCTTCGCAGGAAGAGACAGGACAGAGGTGTCCAGTTTTCAAAAATCAGAACATTTGCAACCCTGTGTAGAGTGGAAAGCCAACACCATATTGTTGCCTGCCATCTTAATGGGAAATAATAAATGAGTCATTTGACATACTATAACTGCTGAAAAAATCTGTCAAATACCAATTGTTTCATTAAGCACATCCAATTAGCGAAGCTTGCTTGGGTGCACAGAAATAAAATGAACATAAACATGCATTTCACAACACTTAATGATTTAGAAGATGCACACACTTGTGTCTAGGTACAGTTTCACAGCTATGCCTTTTCACACATTATTAATAGGCTAACATAGCTCTTTCAGTTTCTCTCACCAAACAAGTTACGCAAGGATAAAACAGTAAGTCTCACAATTTCAACATCTACATGAAATACTGTCAGCCATTGACTTACACATTCTGAAGCAGTAATTGTCAATGAGCTGGAGATCAATGATTCTCCTTCATTCAAACTCACCAACACTTCTAAAGTCCTGGAAAGTAAAAAAAAAAACAATAAATATATGTGAATCATAGCATATGTACATTAAATAGACATCTTGCATCAGACTCAGTTAAAATAGAGCAGGAAGCATGGTTGACCAGAAGAATGGGAGCCAAGATATGGATGTCTCTAAAGCTAAAATGTTGTGTTACTGTCCTGACCACTTATAATTTGGCAGTATTTTTAGCCATTCAGCTAAAACATGGATTCAGCTGTCTAGCTCTAGTAATCAAAGGTTGGGAATTTGCACTTCAACGTTTGAGTCTCAGTTGACACAACTGTAAAATAGTCATATTAGTAGTGTTGTGTGGGTTAAAATTTGAAGACATGTTTGATATCCTTGGGAAAGAGATCTAAACTAGTTATAAAATATTAATTCATCCTCAATAATACTTTTTTAGAGTTTTATTGTTACAAATAGTTCAAAAATAATATTGTAACCCATATTCAACAAAAATATATCTAGCCATATGCAACCAGCAGGCTAACAATGGCTATATATAAAGTGGCCAAGACTCCTGTAAATAGTTTATAAATATCTGCTCCCCCACCCCCCACTGGTCGATCAGCACTTCACTATGTGCTTGTTCTCAGCCAGCAAGACCCCCGCCCACTAGGGATGTAATAGTGTAGTCAATTAACCAATAACCAAACTGGGTGGGGTTGCAACTTCTTTGGAGGATAGGGACATAATTCAAAATGACCTTAGCAAGTTAGAGAAATGGTCAGAGGTAAACAGGATGAGGTTTAATAAAGAGAAATGCAAAGTGCTCCACTTAGGAAGGAACAATCAGTTCCATACATACAAGATGGGAAGCGACTATCTAAGAAGGAGCATAGCGGAAAGGGATCTAGGGGTCATAGTGGACCACAAGGTGAATATGAGTCAACAGTGTGATGCTGTTGCAAAAAAAGCAAATATGATTCTAGGTTGTATCAACAGGTGTGTGGTAAGCAAAACTCGTGAAGTCATTCTGCCGCTCTACTCTGCACTAGTTAGGCCTCAAATGAGTACTGTGTCCAGTTCTGGGTGCCACATTTCAAGAAAGATGTGGAGAAATTGGAAAGGGTACAGAGAAGAGCGACAAGAATGATTAAAGGTCTAGAGAACATGACCTATGAAGCCAGGCTTCATGAACTGGGCTTGTTTAGTTTGGAAAAAAGAAGATTAAGGGGGGACATGATAGCGGTTTTCAAATATCTAAAAGGGTGTCACAAGGAGGAAGGAGAAAATTTGTTCCTCTTGGTTTCTGAGGACAGGACAAGGAGTAATGGGCTTAAAGTGCAGCAGGGGAGGTTTAGATTGGACATTAGGAAAAAATTCCTAACTGTCAGGGTGGTCAAATATTGGAATAAATTGCCAAGGGAGGTGGTGGAATCTCCCTCTCTGGAGATATTTAAGAACAGGTTAGATAGACATCTGTCAGGGATGGTGTAGACGGAGCTTGATCCTGCCTTGAGGGCGGGGGGCTGGACTCGATGACGGGGTACATCAACACAACTGAAATTTGGAGAAACTGAATTTTTGTTTTAAGTTTTACTGCGCTTTATTATTTTTGTATTTTTTATACCCAAAAATTTCATCACCCGCCTGGCTATGATTAAGTTGTTTAAACAACTGTGTTGCAATGTTAGAAAAAAATTTTGTTTGACTGAAAACTGCAGGTACTGGGGTACTATTTTTTTTAATGGCTACTTTATTAAAAAAAAAAAAAGGTTAGAAACACTGCCTCAGACTACAGCATTTCCCCCTTCTCCCACTTTGCCAGTAAATTTTCTAACAGGCTGACCAGCAGCCTGGCTCAGTCACAGCTTGCGCCAGGTCGGTCTGGGAGCTCAGACCTCCCCACTGGTCTGAGCTCCTTAATTAGAGTTTCCCCATAATCAAACACTCCCATCGTCTTCCCTTACTCCTTGTGAGAAGCAGGAGTACTGGCACCAATAGGGATGCCCTCTGAGTTCGATTTAGTGGGTCTTTACTAGACCTGCTAAATCAAACTCCAGAAGATCAATTGCAGCAGCATCAATCTTCCCTATAGTGAAAACATAGAATCATAGAACACTAGAACTGGAAGTGATCCCTCAAGAAGTCCAAGTACTGTCTAGACAAAGTACGACAGCACCAAGTACTGTCTAGATCAGGGGAGTCGAAACTTTTTTCAAAGAGGGCCAGATTTGATGAAGTGAACATGCGTGAGGGCCGACCATTTTGCCTGACATTCTTTGAACCATTAAAATTAAATGCAAATTAACTATTTTATGCAAAGTTTATTGCAAACGGCATACTTTTCATTTCGTCACATGGATGACAAATCTAAACAGGTGTTAAATCACTCTGCCTTTCATATCTGAAGGCCAGATGAAAAAAAAATCCAGGAAGCTGAAATATATGTCAGGAACATTGTAAAGTACATTACATATTATTGGTAATAAAGGTTGTCTGTCAACTTTTAAGTTCAAAAAATATGAACAGGAACATAACACCAAGTATACATGTTGTGTCCAAATATATTTATAACTGATTTAGACCAACTGACATTAACTGAGATTTTACAATGTATTCATCTCAATACATATGGATTTGTTGGGGGGCCTTAAAAGATAGATATTGCCAAATTACCTGTGGGGCCGTATTAAACCGGAACAAGGGCCGCAATTGGCCCGCGGGCTGGACTTTGGACATGCCTGGTCTAGATCATCCTTTACAGGTGTCTGTCTAATCTGCTCTTAAATATCCCCAGTGATGAAGATGCCACAAACACCCTAGGCAATTTATTCCAGTGTTTAACCTCCTTGACAGGCAGGAAGTTTTTCACATGGCCTGTGTGAAAAAGGTGTGCAGGATGCACCTCCCCACATGTGGACTAAAGCTTTAAAGATAAAATAAAAAGAATCCAACTTTGCAGTATTTCTTTTTAACAGGGACTCCATCCGCTTGACTGTTTGGATTGCATAGCTCTGACTGATTGCTATTGAACTTGCTTGCATACAAGTAATTTTACCAGGTATCCCATACTCAGGTTAGGGAAATATGGTCACCCTACTGAGCGAGAAAGTTACAGAGCAGAAAAGTGGTAGTGTAGAGAAGCCATAAATGTTCTGCTGAGTAGGCACATTTAAAGTTAAGTGTTTATTTAGTGCTATGCTGAAACCCAGCGCAGATTTCTGATAAACATCCAGAGTTTCTCTGATCACCTGTCTGAATCAACTCCCTGAGTCTTTTGAGGTTCACGCATCCAGCTATGACACTGAAACACAGCCCAAAATTTTGTTCTCCAGTACCCTGAAGAAGCTGAAGTTCATGTGAGTTTTTTCATGGACTTCAATTACCTGGATCCGTTTTTTTCACAGCCTTGCACAGATGTAATGGAGAACAGAATTCAACCTATAGATACCTGTATGCAGCCGCAACACAGGAAGACCTTTTTGACTTGTGAGTCGACTGTATAGTCTGTACAGTGGTCAACTGACCACAGAAACAAAGACAAAAAGATAATCCCTCCTATAACACAGTGTTTCATTTTCTTTCCCTTTTGCTTCATTTGCCTATTTAAAGCATGAGTTACACAGCGACATGTGCCAAAAAACACACAGACTCCAAGTCAAATATTGCTCTTAGTTGCTCCCATGAAATGGCATTAACTTCTGTTGTGTTTCATGAGTGTAAAACAATTTGCCTCTAACATTTGCTGAACTTTTTCAGTGGTAGTAATTAAAATAATTACTAATTCATGAGTGCTTTCCCCTTTTACAGTGGATAGCATCCGTTGGTCTCAAAGCATTTCCCAAGCATTAATGAAGTAAATCTCACAATGCCCTAAATTCTAATCAAAGCCGGGGTGTGTGACCTTGGGCAAGCCATTTCACCTCTCAATATCATTTCATCCAGCAGCAATAAAACAGGGATAATAACATTTACCATACCTAGCTCATGGGGCAGTTGTGCAGATTGATTAGATAATTTTTACACAGCATTTTGATTAGATACATACAAATACTGTTCGTCCTATTATTTGGGGGGTGGGGTGAAGTACTGAGGCTCCAGTGACAGGATGTATCAATGACAGACGTTTAGTAAGAGAAAGCCCAAATCAACCTAACTCAAGATCACAGGCCAGTCAGCAGAGATCAAGTCCACATCACCAGAGTGAGTCAATCTGTTTAACTCATCGCCCTCAGATTGACTTTGGTTTCCTACACAAGATTTTACAAAACTGAGGTGAAATGAGATGGTGGTTGATTTGAGACTAGCTAAGACATTAGCTAAGATATTATGAGGTGAACTTGATGCCCATAATGTCTGAAGAGTTCACCATCTATTTCAAATGGTGACATATTTAAAAAGAGGAGTTTATCCCAGACCTGTTGTGAAATGTCGTTTGTTTTTCAAATATAATAGACATCCATAACAGAATAGAATGGGTCCAGGAATCTTCAAGGAGTCAAGCTATTTAAACTGGTTTAATACACTAACATAAGGTGACATCCTGGCTTCACGGAAGTCACTAACAAAACCTCCAATGACTGCATTGGGGCCAAGGAGTCCCTCACAGACTGGAATACTATAGCAGCATTTCTCAAACTGTGATACATGTACCAGTAGGAGCTGCACACAAGGGATATGCAGGTTGGTTTAAGATATAGCAACACAAAAGGTATTAGCATGCAACTACAATGATCACAATTTCAAAGGTGGCACTTTATATACTTCTGAGTTTTAAAGTCTGAGAACCTAGATTTCTCAAGGATCCTTTTAACATTTTTCTTCCAGGTAGTAGTTTTTGCAGGTTCCAAGTTTTTGTGATTCCTGAGACATGTTTTCCTAGCTGGGAGCCTGTGCTGAAAATCCATAGGTTCATACAGGGTTGTGAACAGGTGAAGCTTTATTCTGGTTATGTTAGTTGGCACTTTGAAAGCCACAGGAAACTTGAAAGTGGCAGAAATACTCACAGAAGTCTCCCCAATTGCTGTGGGAAACACATTGTGGAT